ACTTAGAGTACAGTTTCAGTATTCGCAATCGCATGAAGATAGGCCTTGCCTAAATATCCTAATCTCCCTTAGAAGCATTTCCAAGTATCAATAATCAAAGTTTATTGATTCCTGCATATCTCAGTGTGAATAGTGAAAGAAGTTCAAAAGTTTAGCACTAACATTTATTCATTTTTAGCTCAATTCGATCGTATCCTACGAATATCCTAGGGAGAAAATGAGTGAAAAAACGTATAATGTCTAAATATGCCTTAAGCCTATTTGAGAGATGTCGATGATTCTTTGCAGATGAACAGTCTCAGACGGTGCACACGAGTTCTAACCATAAAAGTATAATGGGGTCGGTACAATATTGTCCCCCAACCCAAATATAAGAGAAGCAACATCACATGTCACAGGTTGCACAGAGGCGCAAGAAACTGTTGACCGTTGAGTGGATAAAAGAAGGTGTATGAGATGTATTCACTTTTATTTGCTAAGGCGAAGAAAGACTAGTAGTTTAATTTTACTAAGATCATATGAGTTGGCCCCATGCTTCCATTAAATTCCGCAGGAGAGGACCGCAATTTCGACCCCACATAAAGTGGTTAAATCAGCACCCCCAGAGGGACTCGCACCTGGATTGTGGCAGTGCAGTGTATGATCTCGACAGGTCAACCACTACATCACACTGCCACGAGTGCCCTTGAGTCACAAGACAGATAGAAATTTCAATGAAAGCCAGGCTCTTTCCAGCTGGGGGTGCAGAAGAGACCTGGGTGGGGTGAAAAGTGTAGTTGAGACTATGCGAAATTCAATGGAAATATAAGGTATACTCATCAGATTGATGGAAAATTCAACTATGAAAAAGGGTGAATACATCTCATATGCATGATATATTAGTAGTCCTCTGCGTATGGATGAAGAAAGAGGGCTTGATTTGAAAAATGAATGAAAATTATCTGTTATCCCAAGATTGCTTATTCAGTTAGACTTGGCTGCATTTTCAATCAATCCTAGGTCTTACCAGATCTTCTAGACGAATTTTTGCTTCAAATACTATCCTGTAATGCGGCCGAAAGTGGAGTGGATTTTAGGTACAGATGCAACGCTTCTAACTGCAAAGGAAACCATCACACCCTTTCATGCCGAAATACGAGAAGCATAAAAACTTTATACGAGATGCAAAATCAACAGCCAAAAAAGAGAAATAAAATGTTGAGCATCTACCGCTTCATAACGGGCTTTTTCGAGCCAATAACTCGTGTCCTGCATCAGCTGAGCAAGCCGTTCGCTGGCATAATTGTACATGAGGTCCTCGAACCCAGCACCTGAGGTTCGACCGCCAGAGGCAGGCAGTTGGAGACCAGGAGGGTCGACGATCCAAATGCGCGCCATGACAACCGGAAGCGATGCAAGATGAGGGAATGTGTTCGAAGGGAAAGTATGCCCTCCGAGTCGAGGAGGGCCAGAAATGTTCGAGTTCAGAGCATAGCCAGCAGCCACATCAGATGTAGGCAAATCGGCGAATTCGTGATCTGAAGACAAATAACTTTGGATTTGGACAATAAAAAGGAAGAAAAGTTGGGTTTTGAGGGATCTCTTGTTTCATAATTGTTGAGCTAACTTCAATTTCGAGTCAAAGTGTTGGGTGAAGAGATTCGAAGGTCGGTTCCACCAGAAGACGAACGGCGGATTCCTCGTGACCAGCTGTCGATTGGCTTTACTGGAAGATTCCAGCTGACGCTGTTTCCGAGGCAATCTCATTCGATTCCGGTTAAAAGGTACTAAGCTTTCGTCCGTCACATGACAAACACCATCAGAGCGAGGTAGCATCGTCACAACCAACTTCGAGCAAACGAGTCAAGAAAACTCACTGGCAAATCCTTAAAAAGTTGTATATATACTCTAAATTTGGCCTCTTTGATCAAGTATAAAGTGATTTGGTTAGTTACGGTCATATGTCAACTTCGATGCATGTGAGTGTGTCTGTCTCTATATTTGTATGTGCCTGTTTGTGTTCTCTTATGCACAAAACCCGAAGTTATGGCTCAAAGTAATTAGGACAGCAAAAAGGAACGTCTGTCCTAATTACTTTAAGCCATCACCTTGGGTTTCGTGCATAAGCGAACACAAAAAGGCACATACACATACAGATACAGACACACTCACATGCATCGAAGTTGGCATATGACCATAACTAACCAAATCACTTTCTACTTGATCAAAGAGGCCAGATGTAGAGTAGATATACCACTTTTTAAGGATTTGCCGGTGAGTTTTCTTGACTCGTTAGTTTGAATTTGGTTGTGACGATGTTACCTCGCTCTGATGATGTCCGTCACATGATGGACAAGAGCTTAGCACCTTTTCCCCGGAATCGAAGGAGATTGCCTCGGAAACAGCGTCAGCATGGATCTTCCAGTAAAGCCAATCGACAGCTGGTCAAGAGGAATCTGTCGTCGTCTTCTGGTGGAACCGATATTCGAATCTCTTCACCCAACACTCACTCGAAATAAAAGTAAGCTTAACAATAAAAAGGAAAGCAAAATAATCA